CACAAACCTCAATATCCGATTCAGCGTTGTGAGTACTGTTTATCGCTTGATTGGGTATTGAGTTAATTTCGAGATTGTTGTCAATAATAAACTTTTTAGCACTTTGCTTTATGATGTTAATTACCGAGTCCTTGTCCGTTGAGTTGTTTATACAAGTGATTACCCCCAGTGTTGTTTCTAATAAAAATTCGTAAAAAGAGTTTTTTTCTTTGAATGTTGGGGTGTAATACCCATTTGATTCTTTTTGTTTTTCCTTAACTAAGTTTGATTTTTCAGTTATTATATTTTGCCTTCCAACGTTCGCTTCTCCCGTGTCCCTGGAGGATATTAAAATTAATTTTGCTTCTCTGAAAGAAATGTTCTTGGTATATTGAATTCTGAGAATTTCTTTTATTTCAATGAATTTAGTGCAACTTTTGTCAGTTGACTTGTGACTCCCGCCACAGTTGACACATTTTAATATTTCAGATGAGCAGGTATTACTGCTGTGCGAGTCTGAACATTTCTCGCATGCTGTTTTAGCCTTGCAATGGGACTCGTTATGTCCAAACTTCTGACAGTTTAGACATATTTTGACACGGGGAATATACGGGTATACTGTTCTTATCTGATAGCCTAATTTTATTTTTTCTGGGACCTGTCCCTTTTTAAACGTGACTTGTATGGTTCCCGATTTTTTGCCATCTGGGATTCTGTACCTATATACAGCATGAATAATGCCTGGGACAGCATGAATAATGCCATGCTCCTGGGTGAGAGATAGGGGTGGGGCAATTACCACTTTTACACCGTTTAATTTTTCAATTTTGCACGCCATTTCTGCATCGCTGGCATTTTCAAACGCCAGTCGCACTTTCCCATTTTTCAATATTTTAATTTCGAGAGTGTCTTTTATTCCCCATTTGGTTTTTATTTCGTCGCCAATGGTTTTGGTTTTTATAGCTAAAGATTTTGTGTGATCCTTAGACTTAACTATGACCACTTCGCTATATTCTATTTTATTATTACTACTACTCCTGTTTATCGCTTTAAATTTCAATGAATTTAGTGCAACTTTTGTCAGTTGACTTGTGACTCCCGCCACAGTTGACACATTTTAATATTTCAGATGAGCAGGTATTACTGCTGTGCGAGTCTGAACATTTCTCGCATGCTGTTTTAGCCTTGCAATGGGACTCGTTATGTCCAAACTTCTGACAGTTTAGACATATTTTGACACGGGGAATATACGGGTATACTGTTCTTATCTGATAGCCTAATTTTATTTTTTCTGGGACCTGTCCCTTTTTAAACGTGACTTGTATGGTTCCCGATTTTTTGCCATCTGGGATTCTGTACCTATATACAGCATGAATAATGCCTGGGACAGCATGAATAATGCCATGCTCCTGGGTGAGAGATAGGGGTGGGGCAATTACCACTTTTACACCGTTTAATTTTTCAATTTTGCACGCCATTTCTGCATCGCTGGCATTTTCAAACGCCAGTCGCACTTTCCCATTTTTCAATATTTTAATTTCGAGAGTGTCTTTTATTCCCCATTTGGTTTTTATTTCGTCGCCAATGGTTTTGGTTTTTATAGCTAAAGATTTTGTGTGATCCTTAGACTTAACTATGACCACTTCGCTATATTCTATTTTATTATTACTACTACTCCTGTTTATCGCTTTAAAGGAGCTGGGTAATGGTGTGTTTAACAGACATTCAACATAGCTTGTAGTCGCCATATTGGGTTTTTTATGTAAACAAAGAATTACTTCAGATAATAATTTGAGATTTTGAATGAAAGTTGGATGTCGATTTACTGCAACAAATAAAGCCGCCCACTTTATTTATTTTAGTAAATCTTAATATATAGTAAATTTCTACTTAGCTTGTAATGTTTGATTATCTTTGGTTGCTACGCCTGGATCAACAGAGAGCTGTGACAGTACAATACGTCCGTTCAGTTCGGCTTTGAACTAGTAATTTAGCTTCGTTCGTTCGTTTCTGGAGTTTTACGTCCACTTCCACCTAAGGTGATATCGTAGACAAGTGTAATTTAGCGATTCATAATGATTCTTCAATCGCGGCAATTTTTATATAATGTCGCGGTATTTGACATGAGTAACTAAAATCAAATACCAAGCGCACTCTTACAAGAGATTATAAATTGTAAAATAATCAACAAAGAATTTATAACATTATCAAAGTAATCAACACAGACCGGCGCTTGCGAGTTTTAATCTCACCGATAATTGATTGGTGATTGCTTGTTAATCTTTTCTGGCTTCACACCCATTGAGTTTTAATCTCACCGATAATTGGATGCTTCACACCCACCGTTTGAAGTACGGATTATACGGTGTCGATTCAATGGAAATTATGTGACGGGACGGCTGATTGATGTCGTAATCCGGAACATACAGAATCCGGATTTACCAGCGATTTTTTGGCTGAAGTATACTATTCAAAAAAAGTAGGGGATATTTGATTTTGGGGGCATAATACTAAAATATGCAAATGACTACGAAAAAAGTCACTATAGAACCTAACAGAAGAAACATTTCCAGTTACATGTGACGCCCAAACGCACCAATAGCTACCGCATGGAATGCAGGTGATGCTTGGGATCATTATGGGGGTCCAACCCAAGATTTGCACGACTCTGACTTTGAATGTTACAGTCATTGTGGCATTGAATTCCAGGGTGGAAACATCAGTTTAATTGTTTTAGTGACCAGAAAACAAATTTTGATATGCGTCGGCTTACCCAAAATGAAAGGTTACGTGCCCTTGGCATGCTACAGATCGGCACAACACAGGCGGTTGTGGCGCGGACGATGAATGTTTCTCAGTCTGTCATAAGCAGGCTATGGTCCAGATACCGTGATACACAATCTGTACAGGACAGACCACGCCAAGGGCGACAACTCAAGCCCAGGATCGATTTATCCGTACCTTGGCCTTGAGAAATCGTGTCATCACAGCAAATCAGATCAGCGCTCGTCTTCAAACAGACACTGGTGTGAGAGTGAGTGGCCAGACGATTCGGAATCGACTGCATAGGGGTCATCTTCGCGCCCGACGTCCTCGCGTGATCCCTTGTTTGAGAGATCATCACATTCAGGCAAGACGTCGTTGGTGTAGGGATCGTCAACACTGGGATAATCGACGCTGGAGCAATGTGATGTTTTCAGATGAGTCAAGGTTCACTTGATTTTTTGGACAGACGTAGGAGGGTGTGGCGTCGTCGAAACGAGCGCTTCCAAGACGTTAACGTCATCAGACATGATCGATTTGGGGGTGGTTCTGTTATGGTGTGGGGAGGCATCACTGTTGCTGGAAGAACGGCTTTACATGTTGTTGCAGGGCGTGTTACAGGCCAGTACTACCGGGACAACATCTTGGCAGTCCATGTTGTGCCGTTCGCACGACGTCATGGCCGCCGTTTCATCTTCCAGGATGACAACGCAAGATGTCACAGGGCCAGGATCGTTACAGGTTACCTCCAACAACAGAACATCACCACATTACCTTGGCCAGCACTGAGTCCCGACCTCTCCCCCATCGAGCATGTCTGGGACATGCTTGGACAGAGGTTACGTCAACGTCAACAACGTCCTGCCAATGTCCAAGAACTTGCTGCTGCGTTGCAACAGGAATGGGACAATCTGGACCAAAATGACCGTAGACGTCTCATTAGGAGTATGCCACGTCGGATCAATGCTTGTTTGGCAAACAGAGGAGGATTTACCCGTTACTGACTTGGTTGTGATGCTGTGGTAACTTTGCTGTTTGACCCCGGGTATCATTTTACCCTTATAATGGTCAGTCTGTGCCTTACTTAGTCTAACGATCATTTGGAATAAATCGATGAATGTGAACTTCATTTCATTTTGTCATTTGTTTCTTCGTCAGTTTCATTAGGTGACTTTAATAACACTTAAAAATCAAATATCCCCTACTTTTTTTTAATAGTATAATAAGGAAATAAATCGGGACATGAAAATCATGTCGGATGTCACAGCAATCCGGAGTGATCAGACATCGGATGTGACAGAGTCCTATTTAATTTCAATAATTTATGTTCATTACGTCTAGAGTTAATGCCTTGTTTTACTTTGGGAACGCTATTACGCCAAATGTTATCATCCGATCTTTGTGAAATTTATATGCATTATTTAAATTAGTGAAACAAAGAAGCCTATTGAATTTCAGCAATTTCCGTCAATTAGGTCTAGAGTTATGGCCCTTGTTTCACTTTATTGAACCTTGTGAACGCTCTAACGCCAACAGTTATCATCCGATCTGTATGAAATTTATATGTGTCATTTATGTTAGTAAAAAGAACAACCCTGTTGAATTTTATTACGTCTAGAATTATGGCTCGTTTCACTTTATTGAACGCCGAAAGTTATCATCCGATCTTTGTGAAATTTATATGCATTATTTGAATTAGTGAAACCACGAAGCCTATTGAATTTCAACAATTTACAATAATCACATCTAGACTTATGGCCCTTGTTTCATTTTGTTTAACCTTGTTAATGCTCGATTGATGAACGTTATCATCCGATATGTATGAAATGTATATGTATCATTTAAATTGTGAAACAGAGGTCTATTGAATTTCAGCAATTTTCGTCAATAATTTCTAGAATTATGGCCCTTGTTTTACTTTGTGAACCTTGTGAACGTTGGAATGACAAACGTGATCATCCGATCTGTATGAAATTTATATGCATTATTTGAATTAGTAAAACGAAAAAGCCTGTCAAATTTCAACAATTTCTGTAGACTACTTCCAGAGTTGAAGCCCTTGTGTCACTGTGTAGAACCTCGTGAACCCTCAAACGACAAAATTTATAATCAGATCTGTATGGAACTGTATTGTAAAGGCCCCCAATTACCTACAAAGGATTAAATATGCGACAACACTTGTCGACCGCTTAGACGATTTAGCTGCGATGACGTATGTTTCGATGCCTGGCAACCTATCTTTTATCTTGCTTTTATAGATTTTTATACCCAGATGCCGAAACTAACCAGACCAAGTCCCAGTCTGGATGTTCACATAAAGGCCGACAAGCCATAAAGGATGACTTAGATAAACATATAGAAGAAGCCATGGATGCTTTCGAGGAATCTGAACATGCAAATAATGATGGTCATGAACACAAAGATGATTGGAAAGATACCAGAGATTGTCTTAATAATCTTACCGCACACGACCATCGTATAGAATCTCGCCACTTAGAACCTATTTGTCGGTAAGTTCCTTAATTTATACCGATATACATTGTTTGGTGAATTTGGTGCCGCGTCAACGTTCATTATACACAGGACACAATCTCGTCAACAATCAAGTGCCCTAACCCTATTTACATCTCGTGATTTATGACGAAATCTGCAATTGGTCTTGGCTTTTAGCCTTTACAATTATCACATATATCAAAATATGTAATATTCTTATATAATAGTATGACCTATTCTATGTCAGGAGATGGATATTACACTTTGATTTTACACCAGTTTGGGCCACGAATTTTTTTTTCCTTTCATGACGTCAGCACTGTGACCTAAACACTGTATAACGACCTTTTGATTGACATTGCTTTTATATGTGGGTGTGTTTCCTCTTCAGAATTGTAAATAACAATAATTCTAGACCAATATGTAGTCATAAAGTAACTCACCATTTAGAAGATTTTGTGAATCACCAATTAGATCATCTAAGATGTACCTGTGAATCTTTGAAAAAACGTAAGTAATTCAGTATACAGTACTTCAGAATCACTTGATCTTAGTTCGGATTAAATATGTTAGTTCGGAAAATATTAAATTGTGAAAATTACTGTTCAATAATTCCATCATGGTTAAACTAGGAATGTCAGGCCCATTATACAACAGAGGTTGTTCCTCCATCAAAAGCGGAAGCACCGAAACGGAGCATGAGAATAATGTTGACACCGTTAGACATATGCCAGATTTTTTTACCGAATTTGAGCAAAGCGGGGATTTTAAATCGGATAATTAGGACGACAAATTTGAAACTATTGTCAATATCTTTTGGTTGTGTTCATGGTTGTCTGTATACGGTTTTTGAGTTTGAATTCAGTTCGGAACAAAAATAGGTTTCCCGAAAGTGTCACAAATGTGCCCCACGAATGACACAGTCACTACCTTATACCAGGAATATTTGTTCATATAAATTCAGCTAAATGAGAGTATCCATTCTTTTTATTTTGGTCCCCCGCCTTTCGAAGCAAGCAGGGGACTATTAAAATGGGTCTGTCTGTCTACCTTTCACACTTTTTGGGACCAAAATTAGACTTTGGAACACGACTTTGGACTTTGGAACACGATAACTTTGCTTCTAAATGGGTAAGAATGATGAAACTCGTAGTATAGATCGTTATATCAATATCAATAGTGAGAATTTTCTGCTTAGGCTAAGGAGCGATAAGCAATTTGATTGATCAAGACTTTGGAACATAACATCTCTGCTTTTAATTGAGGTGGAATGTTTAAACTTGTTGTAGGTGTTCATTAGGTGAATGTCTTGACTGACTTCAATGATTAACATTTTCCGCTAAAGCCAAGCAGAGCTAAGCAATTCCATTGATCGATGGTTTTGGACAAGAAAACTTTAATTTTAACTGATGGAGAGTGAATAAAGTTGGTTTCACTACCAGGTACTTCAAAACATTGACCGAGTTCGATCGTGAACATTTTATGCTTAGACCAAGTTTCGATAATCAGTTTGATTGCTCGATACTTTTCAAAAAGATCAATCTGATTAAAACACAGATCCTATTTCGTTTCGTTTTTATAGTTCAAAATTTCGTATGAGGAATTAGCCAATGAAACGGTCTGTTACGGAGAGCTTTAGGAGTGTTTTGTACGGAACTGTGGGTAATCCACACTAGGGTCAAACGCCGCTCGTATGACCTCTGACGCGACCTATTGCTACAACCGGTCAGATCTTCATGTAGGGTAGTCCATCGAAAGTATGAAAAAAAGAAACGAAATATAGATCTGTATTTTAATCAGATTGCAAGAAGATAGATGTGTAATTAATTAATACGTGTATGTGTCATCTATTTATTTTGAGATTGCGGGGGGGGGGGGGACATCAGCCTCACTGTTGGCTTGTTATTTATTCGGTCTTTTAAACATACGCTGTGTACATTTTAAAATGTTTGTCTTCATTTCGTTTGACCGCGCTGTTAAGCAACTGATAGATTATATGTCTTGAGCAACAGTGGTTCTAAGCCTTCACAGTTAAAGAGGTGAAGTCAGATGTTCATTTAAAGAGAGAATTGAAGGAAATATTTTTTAATTATAACTTGACATAGATCCGTTCAAAATAAAGAAGTGAAATGTTTTTATTTTATTTCCTTTCTCAGTTGTTCCAAAGTTTCCCAAAAAGTATCGTTTAGCTGTTGGTGCCAGTGCTTTAGTATTTCTTATACTGGTTATAATTCTGATAGTATGTTTATGTAAAAGACGACGCAGAAGACAGAAACGTAAATCAACCCGGTAAGTCTTTTATTTCTTAAAATATAGGCTAGGCATCAGGGCCGCGCTGTACCAATCAGAGATATCGACGGTGTTGTTAACGTGCAACCGTCTCAATATACAAAATTCTTTAATTATATCGACGATCATACCCCGTTAGTTATGTTGTATTAGATGGGTTGGCTTGGCTATGTAATACTCTATCGAGGTGGCGTCCTGGATGCCGCCCAACACTGATGTATTTAGAGCAATGCCAGAAAAAGTACGCTGTGGACGGCCGTATTATTTTTTATGCGCCCACATTTTCATGTGGACGTATTATGCCGTCGCTCCTGGGCGTCCGTCCGTCCACCCACATTTTTTTTGTGGACACTACAGGCCACAATTTTTATCCGATTTTGACGAAACTTAACATATAGGTCTATCTCCCAAAGATCTCGGCTCCTTTCGATACTGGCATGTATCAGACCATATCCTCATGGATTATGGCCACTGATTGTACGAAAAATCACGTTTTTAGTTTGTGGACACGCTAAAGGTCACAATGTTTTACCCGATTTTGATGAAACTTGAAATGCATGTTTATAACCCAAAGATTCGCTCATATCGGATCGTAACTTCCAGAATTATGGCCCCTGATTGTACGAAAAATTGCGTTTTTAGCTTGTGGTCCATCTAGAGGTCACAATTATTATCCGATTTAAAATTTTTTTTTTAAATATATCACCGTTACACCGTAACTGCCGGACAAAATAGCCGCCCCTCGTACGCAAATAGTGTAAACATTTGGTATATCAAGGTTGTGGACCCTCTAGAGGTCACAATTTTGTTCCATTTTGATGAAATTGAAATACATGTTTATAAACTAAAGATCTTAGTTCCTTTCGATATTCTTGCATATCGGATCGTAACTTCTTGAATTATGGCCCTTGATTGTACAAAAAAAATCACGTTTTTAGATTGTGGTCACTTTCCAGGTCACAATTTTTATCCGATTTAAAAAAAAACCGGGTGAATATATTACCGTTGCACACTAAGATCTTAGTTCCCTTTGATAACCACGCATATCCGAACGTAACTTCCTGGATTATGGCCCCTGATTGTTCGAAAGATCGCATTTTTAGCTTGCGGATTCTCTAGATGTCACAAATTTTTTTCCGATTTTAAAAACCGTTTAAATACATGTATATCAACATTCCACCATAATGAAGGTTAAACCCGAAATTCGGGAAAAATGAAATGAAACTACCCAACAAAACGGCCGCTCTTTGTACGCAAATTGTGTAAAAGTACGTAATACGAAGGTTGGGGACCCTCTAGAGGTCACAATTTTATCCGATTGATGAAACTTAAAACATATCTTTATATCTCAAAGATCTCAGTCCCTTTTGATATTTACACATTTCAGACCATAACTTTCTGGATTATTGCCCCTGATTTTACAAAAAAAATCGCGTTTATTTTTAGCTTGTTCCCTATCCATCTCTTGCAAAATGCGGGCGTATCCTGCCTGGCAGCCGCTGGTTTGTGATGAAATTGTTCTTAATGGTATTACTGAATGTCTGTTAATAATACTCTTCAAAAAAGTAGGGGATATTCGGAAATGCACTGTTGTTTTTATTAGAGGTAACCAGTGTATGTTAATAACAGGCCAATTGCCTACACATGAACAGAAACAGCTCATATGGGCGGCTTTTCTGACGGCCCCATTTCACGCACAAAGAGATAAACTGTCAAAAGTGTAAATGGACGTTTTTGATTTTTGTCTTAATAATGAGTAATTGCTCCACCAATCCTCAGACATTCAGCAATTCGTCGTGGCATGCTTCTAATCAACCGTCCAATCACGATTTGGGGCAACCTGACCTACTCCTCTTGCAGTGCCACAGCCAATTCTTGCAGTGTTGTCGGTTAACGTTGACGAACACGTCTCCCTATCATGTCCCAGACATGCTCTATCGGGGAAAGGTCAGGACTCAGGTTGGCCAAGGCATATGGACAATATGGTGACGCTGGAGGTAGTCATTCACGACACGAGTGCGGCGGGCACGGGCATTATCATCTTGAAAGCTGAAACGTCGACCTGCACGTTGAGCAAAGTGCAGAACTGTCGGTGCCAGGATGTGGTCACGGTAGTAAAGACCAGTGACCATTCCTTGAACAATATGCAACTCCGTTCTGCCAGTCATGGTGATTTCTCCCCACACCATAACAGACCCACGCCCGAATCTGTCATGCTGTCTGACGTTAACGTTAGCATGACGCTCATTTACACGCCTCCAAACGCGAGCACGTCTTTCGGTGAAATCCAGAGTAAATCTCGACTCATCTGAGAACATTACACGCGCCCATGGACGATTACCCCAATTTCTACGCTGCCTACACCATTGACGCCTGTTTGCCATGTGCTGGCGAGTTAATGGAGGCACAACACGCGCTCGTCGCGTATGCAAATGGGCTGCATGTAGCCGATTTCTAGTCGTTTTGGGTGTAACTGGAATTCCTGTAACTTGGTACAAGCTTACAGAAAGCTGATTGACCGTTTGTCCTCGATTTCGCAGGACCTGTGTACGAATGTACCGACCCTGGGCTTGTGTAGTGGCTCTAGGACGACCTGCACGAGGTCTATCATCAACATTGTGTGTTTGTTGGTACCGGTTCCACAGTCTGCTGATCAGACTGTGACACATTAAGTATGTTGGCTACTGCTTGTTGTGTAGAACCCATTTGAAGCATGCCAATAGCACGTAGACGTTCATCATGTTGAAGACGTCTCATTGCAAATTAAACGTAACATACTAAAGCAAAGATACGCTAAACAGTAAATCTTATGCAAGAATCGATAGGAAAGCAAACATGAATATCGATAAACCAGATGAAAACTGCCGCGTGCTAGTTTATCGATATCCATGTTTGCTTTCCTATCGATTCTTGCATAAGATTTAGAGTATCTTTGCTTTAGTGTGTTACGTTTAATTTGATCGGGAGACGTGTTCGTCGACGTCAACGTCAACCGACAACACTGCAAGAATTGGCCGTCGCACTGCAAGAGGAGTGGGTCAGATTGCCCCAAATCGTGATTGGACGGTTGATTAGGAGCATGCCACGACGAATTGCTGAATGTCTGAGGATTGGTGGAGCAATTACTCATTATTAAGAAAAAAATCAAAAACGTCCATTTTCACTTTTGACGGTGTATTTCTTTGCGAGTGAAATGGGCCGCCAGATAAGCTACCCATATGAACTGTTTATGTTCATGTGTAGGCAGTTGGCCTGTTATTAACATACACTGGTTACCTCTAATAAAAACAGCAGTGCATTTCCGCAGTTTTGTATTGTTTCTGAATATCCCCTACTTTCTTTTGAAGAGTATATAATCGATCCAAATGTTTGTTGTATAATTACAGACAACAGGAAACACTGTGGAAAGTAGACTATCATATTTCTAAAGGCAGTAACCTTGATGATGACCCGTATGCTGTTTGTCACGATCCGGTAAATCAGCTATTCATTAGATCATGTCCATTGTCCCAAACTCATCCGGCAAAGCAACATAATTAATCCACTGAAATAGGTCCTGATATGCAAATTAATGTCCACTATAGGGCCAGTTGTTTATGATAACAACCAGAAGCTCCAGAGGCGGATTCAATGGGGGGCGCCCCCCCCCCCCCTAATTTTGGACAGTGCCCTTTTTTACTGCTGAAAGTGCCTTTTCTCAGACTCAAATATGTCCATTCCCAACCCGTTGTAGGGATCCCAAATGACTCAAACCATCGACTCAAACACACCAGTCTGGGAAATAGCTCTTGGAATGGCTACAGATGCAAGGCAATGACGGATAATTTTCTTGGGGACCCCCCCCCCCCCCCTCAGCGGCGTGCCCCGTCTCCGCGGTCAATGCCTTCATTTTGCAGCGCCTCCCCCCCTTTCAAAATTCCTAGATCCGCCCCTGAGCTCTGCTATATATCATCTTTAAACGTCAAGATACAATCCATATTATGAAGTGTTGAACAACATAGCAGATGATTTTCAGTGTGTCAAAATACAATACATGTATATACTTAGACGCAGGGAAAACGCAGTACATTTATAAATGGATGATTGTAGATCTCGTTTGAGAGATACACCTTAATCCTACAATTATGAATGCACCAACATCAGATCACGACGATAGCACGTGAGAATGTTTCCACAATTTCGGAAAAGCAACACAGATTAGTTTTCTCAAACACGCAAAAATTGAATACGACGGAATTGGAATGTTGAAAATCACGATTGTATAGTAGAAACATGGGGTATCTAATGTGGCTTTTAAAAATTTAGCCCAGAACCACTGCTATGTCATGTTGTCATCTGAATACCCAGTACGCGTCATTGCGGTAATTTAAGAACGCATAAGTACCAGTTCCGTCGCCTGAAAGTTTGGAATCCATCACACAGCAGTCCTGAGAGGTTCCACTCGAGATCGACCAAGATCTGGGCGGCAACACGTGACAACGCCTCAACAAGATTGGCACATTATTCAGCAACATATTATGCTGGGTTGCACGCTGTCAACTTTCGGTACTGTCGCTGCTATTATGGGTGCACATGGGCCCATCAGTGCTAACACTGCTCGTCGCCCACTCTGTTGGGCCTTATGTTGGACTAATTGTGATTCCGCGCATTCGGTATCTGCGCATGCTTAAACATGACAACACTCGAGCGCATGCAGCATGCCTCTCGATATCTCTCATATGATCTCTCGCAAATCGAGCATCTGTCGGACATTATTGGACCTTGTCTAATCTCATTGTTTCCTGCAACTGTAGTATCTCCGTCAAGTGGAGAAGGTATATTTTGATTTCAGATAGCAACGGTGGTGGTGATGATGCTATCCTACTGGATACATATTAGTATATATTACAATTTATTAAATCGTTATTAAACGTTGAAAATATTCATCGTGTCGTACATTGTTTCATTCACTAATGCTTTAATACTTTTTTCAGATTTATAAAAAGGGAAGTCGTTCAACTATTCCTGTCAAACCGCCCGCACTCCCACCTCGTTATTCTTCCTATCCCAACGACCCTAAAGATAAAACGATCGACTATCTATTACCCCCGGACCTTCCCGATTGCCCTGGTGCACCAACAGTAAATATGATACCCACCGAATATCGAGGTTTAACCAGCCCTGATGGTGCCTCGGTTGAAGATATAACCAACAAAAAGGAAGAACCGCCGAGAAAATATGATCCCTTGGGACCAAGGGAAGAGGAAAATGCATACAGTGTTGCTAGCGTCATTTACAATGAAGATTCGGACAATACGTGTCCAACAAATACGTATTTCATTTTGGAGGCAGAGGGGGAAAAGAAGTGGGTATCTTAAATCTCAAATAAGTTAGGCTGTATCCTTTCGAATAGAGTTAAACTATGGTGAAATCATTATATATCCATGTTTATTATTGGAATAAGACTTTATCCACCAAAGACATGCCAGTATGTTGTTCAGTAGGTGTATTCCTAAAATCATATAAAAAAGAAAATTTCAGAACATAAGTTCATATTTTCTGTCTTGTCCGCAGGTTTATCTTGTAAATTTTTGTTTTGCGTGTAGTGCGGTCCTCCTGCACTTACTATTAGAACAATACTCGCAGTTCATCTACAGTACATGTAGAGTGTTAAATAAAATATCATAGTTCGCAATTTTAATTATTTCATTACTTAAAGATACATTATGGGAGATTAGATAAAGGGCTGGCAGTTCTCGCTATAATAGTTAAAAACTAGATAATGTAGAGGGGATTTGCTGAAAGTTTCAGTCAAATTGATCCAATCGGAACCGAGATTTTGGCGATTGAATTTTCGGCCTAGCCTCGATCATCATTACTAAAGTCGATACGATAAAAAAAACAACTCTCGATTATCCATTTCATGATTAAATCATGAATGGAAGTCGAACAATAATCCAATAAACATCGCAGGCTAGCGATGACATCATCGAGAGTTGATTATGGTCTGGACCAGTTAATTAATGTCTAATTAATAATTTAGATAACATTTCAGGCCTAAAGAAAGTCCTGCAATAGGCAGATTTAGCTCTTGCATAATGTATGTTTAAGAACATTTGAAATTATCCCAGACATTTTCCATTTTTATTAGATTATTGTCGTACTCCCGTGATTTAATTCGTTTAACGAATTTTGTGATCCAAATTGGTTATTAAGGAATCCATTTATGCCTGTTATTATCCTTGGAAAGTGAAATCCAAGTCGTTAGAATTTTAAAATGAGATTATTGTTGTGCATATTTTTTAAAAAATCATTTTTAAAGACATAGTGATCTTTATATAGTCTATAAAATGTAATGTATACTAAAGCATATATGACTCTCTTGTAATTCTAGTGTTCAGTGTCCTTGTCTTTATTTGTCAATTTTTGTTTTCGCTTGCATAATTGTTAAAGGAGTAACCATTCCCAATTGTATATTAACATCGCATTATCTTTCTGCATAATCGAATCTCTCTTGCACTTCTATCTTTATTCTCATCTCGTAGTTGTAATCATGATACTGGCGACCCCGTGAAAAGGTAGGTCTTTCGGCTGCTGCTGGTCTGGCTTTGTGTAACAGAGCAAACTGTTTCAAACTGATGATGCATTATAGCGGCCACGCAAAACACCAGGGGCCTGTTCTGTTTCACGAAATTTTAACTAAGATAAAATCCAAATTTTAGTAATTTGATTGGATAATAGATTGATTTTAGTGCTTAGCCAATCAAAATTGAAGTATCTACTAAGATTTGGATTTTATCTTAAGTTAAGAGTTCGAGAAACAGGGCCAAGGTATAGTTCCGCATAGATTAAACTAATACGATTTAGATAGACTATCAAAGATTATATACGCAACCATAGGTCACACCAATGTTCGAATGACTTCATTGTGTTTCGACCTAGGATAAATCACTAAACACTCTACGAGAGTGAAATATTTCGTGTGAAATGTCCTTTATATTCTTCAGAATAGCTGGATATAAGTTGCATATCGACCATGTGTTGAAGGAAAACGAAACGCGTGGTAATCTAATTTTATAGATATATCGAATTTTCGGGATTGGGGGTCAGACAAATGATACAAATAGAAAAATATCGATTTTGGTTCACGTTTTTTGAACATCGGCAAATTTTATATTTAGCCAGGTGATACAACACAATAATTATGTATATGTTTGAGGTTTTCATTACAATATTTTTACCGCGTGTTTTCTAGTGTTATTAAATTATCTTATGTGCCATTTTTCTTTTTAGATAGATTGTGATAGATGTATTTTGTATAGTATTAAAATAGGCTAATTTGCTCAGATGGGGTTAAGTTTTTGGCATGGTTGTATAGGCTGGACATCATAAGCAAATCAAAAATAACCCACGCGAGTCATGACAACTTTACAGTGAAACGTAGGCACAAGTACAAATCAAAAGTCAGTAACGCGTGTGTCCGCCTCTAGCAACCTCTGTATGGTGTCTTGTGGGATCCTCCGATCTCTGTGGAATGCAGCTTCCCGTGGTTCTGGTACACCGTGCCTCCTTGAAGTAGCGCAATGGCGCGATCTCTCGGTGTTCATATGTCAACCTTGGCATAGTGTTCGTCTTCCACAGTAGGAGTTGTACTGACCCTGTAAGAAGTTGGTTTATTTAACGTCCACTTCCACCGAGTTGATATCGCAGAGAACGATCCAAGCTTTTTAAAAGACACGTTTTGCACCATAAAATCGTGATTTTTAACATTCCCATTCTGTCGAATTGAATTTGTCGTCTTTGAGAGAATGGGTATCGTGTGCGCTTACCTGAAAACATTATTTTCAAGTCGTGATCTGGTGTTTTTATACGCCCACATTTTCATGTGGACGTATATTGTCGTTGCCCCTGTCCGTCCGTCCGTCCGTCCGGACGTCCGTCCACAATTGTTTGTAAACAGTCTACAGGTCACAATTTTTATCCGATTTCAATGAAACTTGAACTATAGGTTTATCACCCTAAGATCTCGTTTCCTTTCGATATTGGCATGTATCGGGCTGTAACTTCATGGATTATGGCCCCTGATTGTACGAAAAGTCACGTTTTTAGCTTGTAAACACTGTAGAGGTCACAATTTTTATCCGATTCAGTTTAAACTTGAAGTGTATGATTATAACCCAAAGATCTCGGTTCCTTTCGATATTCGCGCATATCGGACCGTAACTTCCTGAATTATGGCCCCTGATTGTGGACCCTATAGAGGTCATAATTTTTATCCGATTTAAAAAACCGTCTTATTATATCACCGTTACACCCTAAGGACGACTGAGTTCGAATTTCGTGAAAATCGGCCCAAAATTGACAGACAAAATGGCCGCCGTTCGTTCTCAACTAGCGTAAAAATATGGTATATCAAGGTTGCGGACCCTATAGAGGTCACAATTTTTATCCGATTTTGTTAAAACTTGAATTGGAAGTTTATAACCCAAAGATCTCGGTTCCTTTCGATATTCGCGCATATCGGATCGTAACTTCCTGAATTATGGCCCCTGATTGTACGAAAAATCACTTTCTTTTTAGCTTGTTCTCTATCCATCTCTCGAAAATGTGGGCGTATCCTGCCTGGCAGCCGCTGGTTACATTCAGAATTGCTAACGAATTTACATTTATCCATATTGATCAAAGTGGTCTCTTTTCATGGCGTTTAAGTATGTTATCGCGATGCTTTTTTTTAATCAAATATACCAAAATATTTGAATTGTTTAAACTTGCTATATTTGGATATTAAACATACATTATGCAAGAGCTAAATCTTCCTATTGAATGTCTTTGTTTAGGCCTGAAATGTTTTCTAAATCATTAATTAGACATTAATTAACTTATCATAATCAACTCTCGATGGCATCGGATTTCTCCGACATTAAATAGATAAGAACAGTTCAGCCATATTTTGATTTAAGCTAAGAATGGAGGAGCGAGACTTAGCTTCTAACGACCAGGGTGGTGGTTGAAATTATTGCACACGTCTTGTCAAACCTTCAAAGGCTAATATCTTCGTTCGCAATAGAGTAATTTGAATGAAATTTTCACATTACTCATGTTACATTATCTATTTTCGAACTATTATAGCAAGAATGGCTAGCTCTTTATCTAAATCTAACATAATGTATCTTTAATTGTTTTTGTATTAATTGTAATATTTTCTTAATAAATTGTTTTGTTATATTATGATTGTCTGAGTTTTAAATCTTTGGTACGTCTTGGCAGGCAGGCCTAAAGTTAAACCATGGCGCCCTACATTCCGGTGAAAGAGGGCCCACCCCATCCCATCCAATCCTCTCAAACCACAAAACAACATATCGGACATGTTGTGTTTCTAAAAGCGGATATATTTTTATAAGTATAAGTAAATGGAATGGGATGATGGTTAATGTCTCGTCATTTTTTGACAAACATGTAATAATGGCATTTCTGATTTTCCATTTCCAACTGTTAATGCTTATTTTACGTGCACGCGGGTAGCTTCTGCTCTATTCGAACCCGCGACATTCTAGTCGTGAGTTCAGTGTGCTCAACAAATAAGACCCCATAAAGTTAGCCCTTGTTCAAATCAAAATAAACATGGGGAATTCCTTCTTGGACTTTCATGTAGAACATTTTCTATATACATGTATTAAGTGCATGGAGATTGCACCCCAATTAATAGTGAATAGAAGCACATGAGATAAACCGAGAAGTATCAAATCAATGGAGCTGGTCGTAATCGTCCACTCAATTTATGACGCACACTGAGAAAAAAAGTGGGTCAAAAATGAGTAAAACTTACTCATTTGGGTGAGTTATGAGAAAATACTCAGCTAGATGAGTCTTTTAACTCAGATTGGGGCAAATAAGTCAGCTATGAATTTGTCCTAAGTGAGTCACAGCCTAGTCAAGTGAGTCAAAAGTGAGTCCTTCCGGTGAAATGAATTGTGGGTTTGAAGTTTTTGGCGGCCGTTTGACGAAGACTGGACGCTTATTGACCTAAAAGAAAATCCCAATGCATCTACAAGTAACTAGCGTAGACAGGTAAATCATTTGTGGTTTGTTTGGGGTTTTTTTTTTTTGGGGGGGGGGGAGGAGGACCGAATGGTTAGCACGTGCGCGCTGTATCATAAGGTCTGCCATTGAGTCAACTGGCGTGGTTTCGATTCCCGGGTTGTACGTGGCAAGGAGTAGATTCGCCTGTCCAACCTCATGGGTTTACTCCGGGTCCTCCGGTTTCCTCCAATGCGAATTGTTGAAATAAAATTGAACCATGTGTTGGTCCCGAAATGACCTGATTTGTGTCGAGTGGACGTTTAACCCCATCCCCCTCTCTCTCTCTCTCTCTCTCTCTCTCTCTCTCTCTCTCTTGTCAATAATATGATAGGATTTTCGTACGTCTAACAGCTTTAAGACTAAACATTAAAGATGCATTATTTAAGACTAAGAGCTAAATCTGCCTATTTCAGGTCTTTATTTTAACTTTAAATCTTATATAAACTATTATTTAGACGTTTATTCACGTAACAAACCCATAATCAACTCTCTAGAACATCGAATGGCAGAGATTTAAATGGATTAGAACCCCCCCCCCCCCCCCGGATTTAAAAAAAATGTAACGATAAATTGGATAATCGAGAAGTAGTCTCGTTTGTCCAATACCGTTGCTACGTTACATCTTTCAGCACTCATAACTTCGCCCAGAATGAAATAATTTGATTGGAATTTACAATATTTTTATTTTTCATTATCTATTTTTGTACTATTATAGCAAGAACGGACAGCTCTTTATCCAAATCTTATATAATGCATCTTAAATAAGCTGTCGGGGTTTTATGGTATGTTAACTGATACCAAATTCCACATAAAGCGTTTCGGAAATTCACTTTGTGTTGTTTTTTTTCCTTTCAAGTCTAGCTGGATATGCTACTGTTAAAGCAGGTTCAACTTTATTAAAAGAGGACATAAAGAAAATGAAATGATAAGTAAAATAGAATTTTAAGTTTCACTTAATTCGGAGGGGTGGGTGTACATGTAATGTTATTTGACATTTAAACCATTTTAAAAACATCAGCTGCAACTTCAAAATATGATTCAAACACCGATATTGTTTATGTTAGTCTGGGAAATTGCAGAAACCAGAGAAAGAGATGAAACGGATAAATAAACAACTTATGGAATTGGAAATGCAAAAAATTCCTTAGACTTTTCAAATGTTAATGTGTTTTGGGAACATTGAACCGATAATTAAATGTCGGTATTTTCGACAAAACAGACAAATTTGGGTTTGAAGTAGTAAAATACCCGTCAATCTATAGTAACATACCGGATACCACGCTATATAATGTTTTCTATTCACAGGCATTACGATTTTTGATAATATGTAACAATAAAGAACTATTTCTGAATATACTTGCCCCCCCCCCCCCAAAAAAAAACAAAAAAAAAATTAACTCCTATTTATTTACAACAATTATTAGGATTAGTTAAGATTCTATCTATATAAAACAATGTACAAATTAAAACACAAACACGTATGTTTACTTTTTGAAATCCATTTATAATACACAAAATGTACAAAATACTTTAAATAACTATACAACTTTCTTGTAAATGTCAATATGTATATGTATATAGTATTGTAGTTAACAAGGTGATTGTCAAATATGCATCCTCATAAACTAAAGTTATGTGATCAAGTTTTGTTTCATTTGGATCCTCCTCATAAAAATTCCCCTACTAAACTCTCTTTGTGGTGTTGTTCATAACTCAAGCGTAACATTCAATATGTAAAAGTCATGAAAAAAATATGAATACGGCACCCACTGACTTAAACATGATAAACATTGTATTGGTGTGATGTTTTAGTTTAATCCCGTAAAATATGCCAAAACAGTGTTTATAGAAGACTGAAACTTTAAAAAAAAATTACGGGGGTGCCCCCCCCCCCCAGTGGACCCGGGGGTGCCCCCCCCCCCCCAGTGGACCACCCACACTCTCCCTATCGCGCTACATCGGCTGCTGCGCAGCTTCGTGCCTCCGGCGTCACAGATTGTCAATATTTTATATAATTTCATTTGCGGACCCCCACCCCCCAATATATATTTCACGGCTACGCCTCTGGCCATTTGACTCAAATCTATTTGCATTGATTCACTTTACTAGTCATTTGTCTCATTGCAGTTAGTCGCGTTACTCATCTGGGCCCTTATTCACGAAAACTTAAACTAAGATACAATCGAAATTTTAAGAAATACTGCAATTCGATTGGCTGACCAATATGCAAATTGGATATATGCAAATTGATTTTACTGGTCAGCCAATCGAATTGCAGTATTTCTTAAAATTTCGATTGTATCTTAGTTTAAGTTTTCGTGAATAAGGGCCCCGTTGTGTCACATGACTCAATAAAGTAGTCAAAGAACTCACTTTACTAGATGAGTCACTTGACTCACCTAACGAGTAGTTTTGTGGATTTTTGGGTGAGTTACAAAAATGAGTCCCATGTGTGTCCCAAGTTAGTCAACGAAAAGTGGGCCGTTTTATGGATAGGCTACTCACCCAAATGAGTCAACTAATAATAATATCGTCATTTATAGAGCGCGTTAATACTGAAGAAAACAGTTTCTAAGGCGCTGTTGGTTTTTATATTCACTGATTATTTACAGATTAGGGTTTTGAAATAAGAATGTTTTGAGTTGAGATTTAAAATGGCCCACAGACGGTAATTGTTTCATTGATTGTGGTAAGCTATTCCATAGAAAAGGACCAACATAAGAAAAGGCACGTTTTCCAAGTTGTAAGTTAATGGCTGGAGATATTAGAAGATGTTTTTTTTCTGAGAGCGGAGATTTCTGCTGGTAGTATAGGGTTCTACAAGACTTTTTATATAAGATGGAGCTTGGCCGTTTAACGCTTTGAAGACGAAGAGGAGTAACTTGAACTTAATTCTTTGCTGAATTGGGAGCCATTGTAAAGATTGCAATACAGGGGAGATGTATTGACGTTTTCTAGTTTCAGTGGGGAGTCGAGCTCCTGAATTTTGAACATGTTGTAGTTTGTTAATCTGATAGTCTGGTAAGCGGTATAGTAAACCATTGTGGTAATCTAGTTTAGATGAGATGAATGCGTGAATGAGATTTTCTTTATTTTCATAATTCAGATAGCGTTGGATCTTTCCAATTCGATGTACTGTATATGATAGAAGGCAGTGGAGAAAATACTTTGTATGTGATCTTTAAACGATAGGTTCGAGTGCAATATAGCATCAATATTTCGAGCTTTATGGGTTCCTGAAATTATTTCTTTATCAAAATTAACTAGTGTTTGATCATTTTTTCGGAGTTGTTGCTTGGTTCCAAGTACTAGCAGTTCTGTTTTATTTGGATTTAATTTCAAGAAATGTTCTGTCATCCACGCAAGAATTTCTGTGAGACAAAGTTCTATATTTTGTTTCGTAGAATGTTGAGAGTCTGTGTCAAATTCAATATAAAGTTTGGTGTCATCTGCAAACAAATGAATATTGGGCGCATAGCCTTCAGCAATCTTAGTGATAGACTTTGTGAAGATAATAAAAAGTACAGAACCATGCGGTACCCCACAAAGCATTGTAATATCGTCGGATGTTGAATCTTTAATTCTGACAGCTTGGGTGCGATTGGTTAGATATAACTTTAACCAGTTAGAGACACAACCACGCAAGCCAATTTCGCACCATAATGCATCAAGGAGATCCTCGGTATCGAGCGTACAAATGCGGCTGCGAGATCTAAGAGTACCAAGATAACACATTTCTGATGATCTATAGCTCGGTAGATATTGTTGGCGATTTTGAGTAAAGCAGTTTCTGTGCTGTAGTATTGTTTGTAGGCAGATTGTAATGGATTTTCAAGGTTACTGGAATAAATATGATCATTTAATTGATGTAGAACACACTTTTCTAGTAGTTTTGAAATATAAGATAGGTTACTGTCTGGACGGTAATTCGACAGAATATCTGGACCCGTGTTTGATTTCTTCAGTAATGGTTTAACCATGCTTTTCTTAGTTCCGTGGGAAAGTGACCAGATGAAAGAGATCGGATAATAATTTCGGATATGATGGGTACAAATAGATCGATGTGTTTCTTCAAAAGATGTGTAGGCATAGGGTCTAGATCACATGTTTTAGAAGAGCTTTCTGGTATGAAGAGCTTCATTTACGTTTGAGTCAGATTGGTGAATGATGACCACAACGGTACAGGTTGAGCATTTGATTTTCTTTGTAATACATCAGATCGTATTTTGACTATTTTATCATGAAAATATATTTAGAGAGAGAGATAAATGGGGTTTAACGTCCACTCGACACAAACTAGGTCATTTCGGGACTAACATATGGTTTAATTTTATTTCAATATTTCGGGGACTTTAGCAGTGCGAGGAAACCGGAGGAACCGGAGAAAACCCACGAGGTTGGACAGGCGATCCTACTCCTTGTCACGTACAACCGGGGATTCGAAACCACGCCAGTTGACTCAATGACAGGCCTTATGATACAGCACGCACGTGCTAACCATTCGGCCACCCCCCCCCCCCCCATCAGGAAAATAAACAAATTTATTTGCAAGGTCCTGTGTAGAACTGTACTCTGGAAGTGAGCTCGAGAATTTATTTCTGTCTAATAAATTAATGATCTACGACTTGGAACATTTTCTTTTGATCAGTTCCAGGTTGATCCAATTTGTTGTTGTAAAATTCGTTTTTTTGAGAAACTACAAGTAATGCAACACGCTTACACTCCGCCTTCAATATATCATTGTGGACTGTTAATTTGGTCCGTCGCCATGTTCTTTCCGCCTTGCGTCTTATTTTTCTGGCATCCCTGATTTTGTCATTAAACCAAAGATTATGTGGCTTAATCGACACGTTTCTTATGAGGTTGGGTGCGTGTTGATCCAATATCGTGGATGTTTCGCTATTACATGTATATACTCTTGAAAAAAAAGTATGGGATATTCAGAAACAACACAAAACTGCGGAAACGCACTGCTGTTTTTATTAGAGGTAACCAGTGTATGTTAATAACAGGCCTATTGCCTACACATGAACATAAACAGTTCATATGGGCGGCCCCATTTCACTCGCAAAGAGAGACACCGTCAAGAGTGAAAATGGACGTTTTTGACTTGTGTCTTAACAATGAGTACATGTAATTGCTCCACCAATCCTCAGACATTCGGCAATTCGCCGTGGCATGCTCCTAATCATCCGTCCAATCACGATTTGGGGCAATCTGACCCACCCTCCTTACAGTGCCACGGCCAATTCTTGCAGTGTTGTCGGTTGACGTTGACGTCGACGAACACATCTCCCGATGAAAATAAACGTAACACACTAAAGGAAAGATACACTAAACAGTAAATCTTATGCAAGAACCGGTAGATGCACTAACATGGATAGATAAACCAGCACGCGGCAGTTTTCATCAACCTTTCCTTGAAGTGTCAAATTTGACAATGAACCCCTCCCACGTGTATGGCGCTATTGCGTGTCGCATGTGCAGCTCAGTGGTTCTGTTGGAGCGATAAGTTCTTCATCTGTGAACATACTCTCAAAGCATTTCAAGTGTCCATGACTATTTATCATATCACATCCTGCATAGGTATTTGCATTTCAATATCCCCTACTTTTTTTGAAGAGTATATATATGGAGCAGTTTATTTAGACCAGAAGTTGAAAGTGAAGATGTTAACAAAAATGATTCTTTTATATCACCTGCTCCGAACTTGGTGTGATCAATGCATTGATCTTTCTGTATTTTATGATAGTTGCCCCAGCTGGATCACATAAAGCCATAAATTGAATAGCATAGTGATCACTGAGAAATGGGTCATCCATGCATAAGTTTTGGACATCCAGTTCACCGCAACGTGATAATTACCAAGTCTAAAGTATGACCAAGGTTCTGCGTTGGGTTGATAACATGTACTAAGCCAAAGGACTGGATAAGATCTTGAAATTGGATTGCAAGAGAATTTGTAGGAACGTCAAGATGAATGTTGAAGTCACCAGCAATAAGTAGTTTTCCTGGTTTGAGTATCAAATATTCATAATAAGAACTAAAATCAGAAAGGAAATCAGAGATTGAACAGATAGATTTTTAGATAATGGTGGCCTATAGATACAACTGTCCTACGATTAGTGATGGGACAAGCTCTATACGACTAAAGTTTTGTTTGAAAAGTTTAAATGAAAGTAAACTTTTTTACTAATTTAACTTCCTGTAGAACACAATATGAGTTGTATTTCAACACCGACTTTATTGATGTAAAATATTCAATAGAGACCGATTGTGATTTCACATAACAAATCAACACCCAAAATTTAATGTCACTTCAGTCCTTCGTCCGTACACATTTTCGACTACTTTGCTAAACAGCTTGATGGATTTCAACCATATTTCTTATTATTTTGTAGGTAGGCTGGGCTTTATGCTATGTTGTTAGGCTATAGCCTAGTGTTTATTCACATTTGTTCAAATGAAGTGGCTTTACCCGATACGAGTGGTTAAGCAGGGACACCTTTTCACCTTTTAGGGGCAGATTTCGGTAATCTTTAAAAATCTTCAACTTTAATATGACTGAAAGAGTGAATGGATTTCCTTGAAATTTGGTAGGAGTCATCCTTATTAAAGATAAAACTTTGCTATAATAAAAAGGTTGAACCTCACATGTGCATGGTGGGGGATGGGGAGGAGTCAGGACAGGAACGCCGTAGTGCAGGAAAAATTTTCCGCCCGTTACTTGCACGCGTCATCATAAAAGCAAAAATAGTCAAAATGACTGAAATATTAGGTTGACCATGGACCTTATAAGGTATTATAAGGTCCAGGGTTTGACTTGACAAAATTTTGCAATATTATTCCATATAGAACAGATGAAACCGAACATAAACGAACGGTTCCGATTGAATAATTGAACGCGAAAATAATTTGGAGTTATCCCCCTTCAACTGAAGAGTCTAAGAAGGAGACGATGTCGAAGAAATAATAATAAGAAATCCAGAATTAATTCAGAAAGTGTGCAGATCACAATTAGTACAGTAATCCGAGAGGTGTTTATTTTCTTAGAGACTATACTATTAGGGCGTGTGCATGTTGATATTCCATGACATTACATTACACAGACGGCATAATAATTTATAAATGTGTTTGTCTATATACTATATAGGCCTATTAGTATGGCTGTAGTTCAGCTCTGAACGTAGGTCTCATTACACTCGGCCTGTACGTTCAGAAACTCTTCTATTGAATCCTTGTCGAAACTGAGATCCGCCCCAGTCAATCTTACTGGGCAACTTTTTGCTGCTAAACGGCCGCGTGTCAGTCCCCGTGAACGCCTGAACAATATAAATGAACACCTTAGTGAGAATATAATAATAATAATAATAATACTGGTAATAACTTTATTTCCAATCAAGGATCCACAGGGGACATGGTACAGGTCAAACAAAGAGTGGGAAAACCCAAATGACAGTCAAGTTATAATATATAACAATAAAAGGCTGCCAACAGGGGAGATTAACATATAAGTACTAAGGCTTCATGCCGATAAAAGAGACGGCTTATGAGAACATTATTAGTCATGAAAGGGAGATAAATCCACTTAACTCTTAACGTTACAGATCAAAATTAAGCAGAAATTATGTAAGCCTTCACATTATTCCCTGTAAGGTGCTTAACTAAGGTAACGAAAGTAACCTTATTGCAAGTTCTTGTGCAAAAAGCGACCAAGTTCATTTAATATATCTACATTTTCACAAGTTAGTAACCAAATATATTTGTTTAGACTATTCAAGTTGATAAAGTTAGTATTGGATTTTTCAATAACCTCAAATAAACATTTCCTGTCTGTTGACAGATGTGCACAATCAATTAAAAAATGCAGTCGTCCTCGACTTTCCTTGACAGGCATTTTTCACAGAGGCGTGATTCACGATTTAAGCCTATATACCTGCCCGTTTCTATTTTGAGCCTATGTGAGAAAATTTTAATCTTGGTGATAGATAATTTTCATATCCAAAGTTAGTTTTAAGTTGGACAAATAAATCTAGTTTCCCAGTATGCAAAGATTCCCTTTGCTTAAGCCAAGTTTCTTTATGACATTTGACCAGCAACTTTTTCAAATTGGTCTTAAATGTCGAAAATTTATAACATGAAGTGTTTTTTAAGGGCATGTTCAATAGTTGACATAGTTCAGTGACAGTGCTAAACCATGACTGTCCAACTTTGGAAAGTTCTTTGCTAGTTGCGAGAGCATGAGCTAATAATGAATTTGGAGATGAGCTCTCAAGGTGACGCCAAAAACACAGGAGAGACTTAACAATTTCTAAGTTCATTGGGGATCGACCTAATTCGGCCAGAACTGCAAAATTTGAACTCTTTTTGTGTACCCCTAAAAGAAATTTACAAAATTTAACATGAAGCTTATCAGGTTCTATAGCATTATAAGACCTTGCTTACCTCGCTAGAACCAGTATGAGCGACACAACACGCTGTTAAAAAATACGTCTCCGTCTTCTAACCGACTTGGCAGACTTCATTGAAAGGGTAACGTACAAATTTATGAACTCGGCCATGTAAGATGAAACGAAATTTTGGTAAGCCTGGGGGGAAAAAAATTGGATTTCATCTTACATGGCCGAAGTTCATAAATTTGTACGTTACCCTTTCAATGAAGTCTGCCAAGTCGGTTAGAAGACGGAGACGTATTTTTTAACAGCGTGTTGTGTCACTCGCCAAACCGCGGCGATGTAGGGTACTGGAATCTGCTGAGGTTTGCCGAGTGCGTGTTGTGTCGCTCATACTGGTTCTAGCCGTGCCACATGAAATGTGTGGTAACCTGATATCTCGAAAACCGCTAACCGGAAGTGGTCAAAATTTTGGCTACTCTGAGATATTAATAATGTCATTATAATCTGCAAGTTTCATTGAAATCGGTTGGTAATTGCGTTCTGTAGCCGTGCCACATGAAATGTGTGGTAACCTGATATCTCAGAAACCACTAACCATAAGTGGTCGAAATTTTGACTACTCTGAGATATTATTAAAGTTATTATAATCTGCAAGTTTCATTGAAATCGGTTGATAATTGTGGTCTGTAGCCGTGCCACATGAAATGTGTGGTAACCTGATATCTCGGAAACCACTAACCTGAAGTGGTCGAAATTTTGCCTACTCTTGAGATATTACTGACGTATTTAGCCAAACATAACTCATTAACTGATTTGAAATTAGAGTACAAATCAGTTTATATACATTCATATTACATTATTATATGCGTTGCAATCCATTTGTGTCAATTTCTAGGTCCAAATGTTAGTGATTTAGCTCCTTTGATATTAACTGTGTGCTTTCTCCAGGTGTTCTGGTTTCTCCGGGTGTTCCTCACAATGCCAAAGACGCCTGTGCACCCAGGTTTTTGTTCAATGGACATTAAATTCCCTCTCGTCTAGTTGACAAATATCCAACTTATGCAAAAACTCATTGATGTTGTACAGCTAGTGGCATACTTAGACTCTTAAAGTAGCTAAGTTTCTAACTCAATATCATCCAAAGTCTTCGACATTGAAAACAAGAATTACTTGTCAATTTAAATCAACATTGATGTTGTGATCTTACCAAGAAAAGTTGGGCTTTTGATATCCAATATTTAAGACAAAATAAATATTTTACCATTGGTAAACGAATTGTGTACCATAATGCATTTCAACTCCTTTTGTAACAAGGGACTCGAAGAACGGGGCTATACATATTCTACAAGTCGAGTCAAATGGTGACGCCATATTATTATCTGGAGAGCATGCACAATAAATACTATCGTTGTAGAGTAGACTGGAATGACCAGATGTTAGAGATTGCTATTCGATTGAGCCTTCTGGCGTATTTCGCCAAACATAATTCATTAGAAATTAGAGTAAAAACAGAAACGATTCAATGTTAATCAGTTTATATACATTTATATTACTTATTATATGCGTTGCGACCCATTTGTGTCAATTTCTACGTACCAAATATTAGCGATTTAGTTTCTTTAAGTTAGTGTTTGTGAATTCTCTGCTCCTACGAAAAACACATAGGCTGCCTACCTTAAACAAACAAAAAGTATAATTTTGCCAGGTGTCTTCTATCCTTCTACTATATTTGGTGCACATTGACGTTAGAATTCCATGAATTTAAGTTTGGCTGTTTATATATGCTAATTAACCTGCATTCATATGTTTGTATAATTAAAGTTTGGTTGAAGAGTATGAAATGGAGAAGGATAGTTGTGGGTACAGTTACTTTTATAATACCAACTACAATAGCTTTCTTTGATATTGTCGGCTATGTCGCCAAAGTGGAAGGAGCATCTATGCAGGTAAGTTATTATTGCAAGTTGTATCATGAGTTTACTATTTCCTTGCTAATAAAAACTCTTATAATCTGCTAATAAGAATTCTATAGTTCTGCAAAAATAAATAATGAAGTCCCCCGAAGTTGGCCTTTTAATTTGATTTTTTTTTTACCTAAATCGAATTGTTTAAAACTAACATTAAAGTCAATGGAAAATAATATAGTGGTTTTAATACTGATGGACAAATAAGACTGGTCATTTATTATCTCCTTTCTCATTTTTGTTGACTTTTTGTTCTAAAATTGGCAAAGAGTGTTCAAATTTATTTTCAATCAAGTTTTGATGAATAGGCCTACTGTATGTAGTATATAAGCAGACATTTAATATGGAAATTTACAGCATGTAGATTCCTTTGATATGTCGTAAAACAAAATGGTGTCATGTTGGACTCTTTCTGGTATAAAGATTTAGATAACCAGAATGTTCAAAAAGACATGGATTTAACATTTAAATAGTTTTGAGTGTGTTAAAGCCAATGTAGTCTGATTTTTGCTAATATTTGGTGTTGTCTCCCTTTATTTGATGAACATCACAGATCATCCTCGGTATACCCAGTGGTTTCATTCCGTTATACTCCACTTTACCCAGCAGGGTTCATCCATGTGGTATTCACACATTCAAATTATCTGCCCTTGATCATAGCTTGATTCTACGAACCAATCAAAAAACAGTTTACAAACCAGTCTTAGCCCCATTGTTTATGTTCACAACAATATGGCAGCTTGTTCGCTCAAATATGAGAAAGTTTGTAAGAAATTTGATATAAAAGAAGTGTCCTAAAACATCTTTTTGATGGGAAAGATGTTTTTATGTCAGTCAGCTAGGTCGTTATGTTACCATATTTGGTCGATAAATATTGCACAATCATCAAGAGCAGATAATTTGAATACATGTCTCTCCCTTGGATGAACCCAGAGATTAGTGGAGTGGAATGGAATGAGACCACTGGGGATTATATTACATGCATTTTGTCAATAAGTTCAATAAATTTTTTATGCAGCCTGTTTTGAATCCAGAAATATCGACAGACAAGAAACCTATATCAGATTTTGTATTGCTAAATCGATGGAAAACTCATGGGATGCAGTTTAAAAGAGGAGAAATTGTATCACTGTCGTATGTATATTTGATTAGTTATCTGTTTACCCTGCAACCATATTTTGATGCTCAGTAGCATTTTTTGCAGATATTGGTAAGTCAATGACATGATCCGGATTATCAGCGAGTTGATTAATTTATAGTATCCCGCCACATGATTGACACTCAATAATGATTAATCTAGGATATATATATATGATTAGAATTTTAAGATTTAATATTTTTTTTTCAAATTGCGACTTTGGCGACCAACAGCGTGAGCCGTGGACAGGAGTTACATGAACTATGTCTGTCTTTGGAAGATTTCTAAATGTTCACAAATTGGGATGTCTTTATGGACAATAATAATGGATGGTAAATATTGAAATACATAGTATCTCCCAGCCTCCCATATTCCTGAAGCAATGATCCCAGAAATCCCTCTCTAGCCATTGCTGTATTTAAAGTGAATATTTGTCTATTTTTATCGTCCAATCATTAAGTACCATTGTTGGAAGTAGTTCTATTCAGTTTGTTGAAACAAAATACATAACATGACAGTTTGTTTCCTTGATCTGGTGTCTTCCCTAAAACTTCAGAAATAATATTCATCTGTTACGTGGTCCAACAGACGATAAAAAGATTCTGATTGTATTTTCGTTTGTAACAATTTTGAATAGCCTTGTTTATGACACAATTAGTTTTTTTGCAATATTCTGCCATTCTGAGGATAATTGCTCATAATGAATATTGTGGGCTGTGACGTAATGTAGCCACGATTGTCATTATACAGTTTTACATTAACATGTTAAGAGCTCCAGTTAATCCAGATTGATTTGATACTCTGTAATGGATTGGTTGTTAACCCGACTATTATAACTAGTCATATAATTTGGGACAGGAATCATCAATCAGTCCAGCAGTGTTTGAGTGCGATTATTGGTAGGTCTAATCAAACGAAACACTGAGAGGAGTATGAGTATCTCCCAGAAAAATGTAAGATTTGTTGTAGTTTTACATGTAGCTGTTTTATTAGTCCCCTTACAGTGAAACCAGAGAAGACTATAGGTTTTCTCTCCATCTATCTGTCTGTCATATATTTGTTTTCTGCAGATAAAGCTGCACAGCTCCATAGTGGGGCAGGCATATCATGCACATGTACATTTTGATTTCAACGAGATTAAATTTTGATTTTGTAGCACCTATACAGTGGTTTATAAAAGAGTTGGTTGGTCCCAGTGGGCAGAGCATATTAAAGACATGTTGAGGATTACAACATAATTAGAATTATTAGTTTATTGATGGAACTGAAACACTGATGAGTGATTAATCTCAAGATTCCCAACCTTTTTCCACTGGCGAATGCCTTGGGATACTTTACACAGAGGATCGTCAGATCTGCATTTACTCTGTTCAGGCAGATTTCCCATATTAGATGCGTGCAACAACTTTTCATGTTGATCTTTGATAAACCCCAATGGGGTCCATCTTACTGGGAAAAGTTAACTTATGAAACAAATATGCTTGAAATAATTTCTTTGATAGCTTCATACACCCCTCTTCTCTCACACTGACGTTTCAGTAACTGCCATCAGATTGTAACGCAGGGATACATGCAGGGGTGCAACCAAAGTCTTCCCGAACGTATCAAGGACAAAATATCTAGGGACCTCTTCTAGCGATTTTTCAAAGAAACAAAACGGCGAAGTCGATTAAAAGGGCAGATTGTTACATTAAAAGAGTTTGTGACATTATTTATATCTGACAAAAAAATGTAAGAAACGACAGACAACTGAGCTGACTCAACCAAATAAACTTATTCTATCTCTTTGAAGCTTGATTAGATCGTATAAAACAAATATTCTGGTTTTCAGATAACCCTTTTTTATTTAAAAAAAATAAAATAAAACCACTCTATTTAATTACTGCAAGTAAATTTGAATAAATATAAAAATATTCTGTAGGCTCATTTATAAAGTATGCAACCCTGATAAATGTTACTTATAATGTATGGAGCCGAATCGTTGCCATATTAAGAAAATATAATAGTTAAAATTGACAATTTATCATAGTCAAAATGGTAAAAATGGTCATTTTTCGAGATTTTTAACTTGTAAATATCACATAACACAAAATCACTAGTCTATATTAGTATCAAAACAAACCAAAAAAATCTAGTTATGTTTTTTCACTTTCTACTTTTTTATCTTTGCATTTTCAACTATCAGAATTTCTCCATTGTAATTTCCACCTCCAAAATTTCTCCAATCGAACGGACAAAGGCGCGGTTCCGGGTTCAGCCAAAGTTGACGTCATAAGATGTCAGCATTTATCGTCTCGGCTAAAATTACTGCTAAATTGGGTTATTCATAACTCTTAAGAACTGTCCGATTTTATTTATTATTTTTTGGAGAAAAAAAATGAAATAAATTCGTTGTCATGTTGAACAACTTTTTGTTTAATGAGTTATATCATCGAACCTTGAGGTTTGCTCATTGTCTTAATAGAACGGATGAATCTTTGACAGAACATCGTCATGGATGTGAGCGAATTTCTGTCGTTATATCTGAAATAAGTGAAACTACAAAAGAGGTGCTTGGCTGCCTTCATCAATTAAGAAAAGCTTTACAGTTATTAGACGATGTAATAAATTGACAACAAGACAATTAGGACCTGGTAGAGAGTATCATTTTTCGTCAGGAAGAGTTGATCCGCCAAAGTTATTTATTCCACAAGAACAGTTACGATATTTAATAGATAAACATCTGTAATTTGTGGAAAATAAAAAATAATATATCCCCGATGAGAGGTATAAATTATTGTTTCACTATTTCGGTGTCCCAGAATATTTTAATTTACCTTTTCAATCTATCATGATAAGGTAGGTAGTTGTGATCGCAACACATGCAGCAAGAGTCTACCTGTGCACTGTCAATATTAAAATCTAATGGATTATGTAGTTGTCATTAAAACATGACAGTAAAGACATAAATTATTTGTTCTTTTCACATTAACTGGGAGTTAAATAATGCGAAACTAGAAACAAAAGTTATATTAATTAAAATACAACTAGAAACAAAAGATGTATTAAGTAAAATACGAGGTGGACCTAATTAGGCCTATATATATATATACCCCTCCGACAAGACTCAAGAGTTAAAAAAAACAAAAACCTATATTTTTATTGACGGTTGGATGGTATCATGTTAGTAATAGTTATTGATTTTAACCATTAGTATTTTATACTTTTGCAAAGCAGAATTTTTTAAAACAAGTATCCGGTAGCCAGTATATATATAGGCCTAATAATTTTTATGTGGTCTTCAAAAAAAATACAGATGTGACATCATCTTTTGTATTGGCGTACTAGTACTTCAAATAAAGTACACGTCTATGGTACATACAATTAATCAATTACATACAAATAACATATTACGTTAAATATTGTTTTTACATAATTAATTAATCAACAAGTGTTTTTATAAGTCAAAATCCGGTAGGCCTACAGCGCATTGGACGCTTATGGCTGACATCCGGATCCATTCACTTGATTTGAGATACTTATTGTTTGAAATATATGTGTAACCTATATTGTTTGTCGTGTCTATGGGTTTGTATTGTGTAGTTGTTTATGTGGATAAGACGCTGGCTCGCTAGCCTGGAGGTCGGGTGTTCGATCCCTGCATTGGCCGAGAAAGTTCATCCAGATTTTCTGGCGTGGTTCCCCCTTGTCAGTGATGCAGGACAGAGGGTCTGACAAGGACAGCTGTCTAGTCCTTCGGATGAGACAAAAAACCGAGGTCTCGTGTATACATTGGAGTGCACGTAAAAGATCCCTTGGCAGTTGGAATTCGATATAAGAGTAGGCAATAGTGCCGCTGCCCGGGCAAAATTTCCCTCATAGCACACTGTATGACGTATGCCCGTCTTCATTAGGCCAGCATAGGAGCAGAACAGTAGGACGTTAAACCCCATTTGATTTCATTTCATTTACTATTCTCTCAGCTAACCGAAGAACTCCAAATGCATCAGCTGCTTATACCAACGTAGATTTATGACGTTGTGTGCCCATAGTCCCTATCAGGAAGCATTAATCTTAGTCCAGACGATAAAAACAGATGAGTTATGACGTCATCTTCGGCCGAACTCGGAAACACACCCCTTTTCCTTATATGGTCAGTTAGATTGGAGAAATTGTGATAGTCGAAAATGCAGTGGAGAAAATCTGATAGTTGAAAATGCAAAGATGAAAAATTTACAGTGAATTTTCAAGCAATTTTTGCTTTGATACTAATAGTGATTTTCATGATGGTAAATATTTACCATGTGATATGTGATATTTACAAGTGAAAAATCTCGAAAATGGCCATTTTTACCATTTTGACTATGATAATTTTGCAATTTTAATCATGATATTTTCTCTTAATAATAATATGGCAACAATGCGGCTCCATAATAATGTAAGTGGTACTGGATGATCATACATTCCTATAAACAACATGATTAAAACAATTTCAATAAGAGGTCATTTCGGCCACTAGTGACAAAATAAAAAGACCAAAATAAAAACCTCCCTCTCACATCAGAATTTTGAAAGGGATTGTCTGAAAAGAATTTTTTTGTTGTATAGCCTAAATGTAATAATACGTTTCTCTTTTTTTATACGCCCATATGGAAATGTGGTTGAATATTGCTGTCCCCGTCTGTCTGTAGGTCCATCCACCTTCCACAATTTCTTGTGAACACTCTACAGATTACATGTATCATCTAACTGTTTTGAAATTGATATATGTTTTTTTCTTGTGAACACTCTATCTGACTGTTTTGAAATTGATATATGTTTACATCAGTGAGGTGAAGAATCCTTTTTATTTTCAATAATTTCCGTTAATTTCTTCTGGAGTTATGGTCCTTGTTTCACTTTGTTGAACCTTGTGAACGCTCTAATGACAAAAGTTATCCCCTGATTTGTATGACATTACCGTGTTGGCACTTACTGGTCCTTGTCTTCTGACGACTGCTGCACCTGTTCGAGTCGCTGGGCGGAATCTGTCACGCAGTGAGTGACCCGGATGTAGCAGTCTTGAGCCTGGGTTGTAACGCATTGTTGACCAGGATGTTGACGGTCACGTGTTGTGTGAAACAATAGTTCATAGTATTGCATAATATTATACATACAAAACCACCTAGTAATAAAATATTTGGGGAAAAAGTGATGCATTTTCCATGGCGCTCAGAATATAAATCATTTAAATTAGTGAAATGAAGAATCCTATTGACTTTCAGCAATTTCCGTTAATTATGTCTAGAGTTATGGCCCTTGTTTCACTTTTTTGAACCTTATGAACGCTCTAACAACAAAAGTTATCCCCCGATCTGTATGACATTTTTTTGCATCATTTAAATTAGTGAAATGAAGAATCCTATTGAATTTCAGAAATTTCTGTTAATTACATATAGAGTTATGGTCCTTGTTTCACTTTGTTGAACCCTGTGAACGACAAAAGTTATCACCCTATCTGTATGAAATTTATATGCATCATTGAAATTAGTGAAATGAAGAAGCCTTTTGAATTTCAGCAATTTCCAATAATTACTTCTAGAGTTATCTCACTTGTTTAAATTTTGTTGAACCTTGTGAACGCTCAAATGACAAAAGTTGTCATCCGATTTGTATGAAATTTATATGCATTATTTAAATTAGTAAAACGAAAACCCTGTTGAATTTCAACAATTTCAAAAAATTTCTTCTAGAGTTATGGCCCTTGTTTCACTTTGTTGAACCTTGTGAACGATCGAATGACGAAAATTATCGTCGGATCTGTATGAAATTTATATGCATTATTTAAATTAATAAAACGAAAAAGCCTGTCGAATTTCAGCAATTTCAAATAATTACTTCTAGAGTTATGGCCAATGTTTCACTTTGTTGAACCTTGTGAACGTTTGAATGACAAAAGTTATTGTCTTATCGGTATGAAATTTATATGCATTATTTAAATTAGTAAAACAAAAGAGTCTATCGAATTTCAACAATTTCTGAAAATTACTTCAGTTTTTAGAACCCTGTGAACCCTCAAATGCCCCAAATTACCTACAAAAGAATAAATATGAGACAACCCTTGTCGACAGCTTGGACGATTTAACAGCTATGGCGTATGTTTTGTTGCCTGGTTACCTATCTTATATAATGTTTGTACCTTATGACATGTTATTATTTTCACTCAGTTGTGTAAACATTTAATATTTCTTGGTTTCAATAGGTCAAACAAATGCAGTATATAAAAGACAATTAAATTTCATTTAAACATGAAACTAATACATCTTAAGTTTATATTTCGAAAAGATGTGGCAAGTGGAGCGTGGGGAAAAAATTCCTTAACCCGTTAAGTGCGTAGGTCGTTATATAACATCCTGGACAACTGCCACTAACTGTGTGTAGGCCGTAATATAACACCTTGGAGGTATTTTCCCCAGCCTATTCTTAGAACATAGTTCGTCACTCGGGGGAATCCCTTGGGAATTTCCCCACGATCGCAGCATGTGTAGGACGTTATATTATGTCCTGGACAACTGCCACTCACTGTGTGTAGGGCGTAATATAATGCCTTGGAGGTATTTTCCCCAACCAATTCTTAGAACATAGTACATAGTTCTTCGTCGCTTCGTCAAATTAATTACACAATAGGGGGTAGTTAACGTTTTAAAAATGTCACGCTTAACGGGTTAAAGATAATAACATTTTAATCTTCCTAATGATCGGCCAATGCTCCAAGTCTTACTTAAATTCCCCCACACCCAAAGAAAACCAAAATGTAGTATTATGCGAACCCTAAAAGCAGATAAAGAATAGAGATATTGCAAGTTTATAAAGAATTATCAACTAATCATGATTTTTTAAACAATGATTGTTGATCCAAAAACTTTTCCATTGTAGTGAAGACAAAAACAGCTCTGAAGAACAGAACTGAATGTGGAATAGGTTGATTATCACTAATGTGACTCTGATATCAGCTATGAATTTCATTGTCCGAATACAGAAAATTCAATTATTTGTTTTACTTTGCTATCTTTTTAAACGAACCTGTTCTCCCCACTCCCACTCCCCCCACCCCACCCCAGTCTTGTAGAAATAAACGATTGTTATAACATTTCAGTCTTTATTTCCCTTTGATATCTACAGTATTGATTAGAGATTTATTTTATATGGATTTTTATAATTAATACATCAATCAGATGGGGTTTTCCATTATTTTCCTGTAATTTGTAGATAATGAAAAGGGTAATAAATCATACAAAAGTATTTATTGACAGCGTTAACAATAACTGGAATATACATAATAATGAAACATTAAAAATCATTTTATACATAATTTTGAATTATTGAACTAGATAAAATATAACCTTATAATCAAAGATATAATTTTATATAATGAATGAAATAAATGGTGACAAAAGTAAAATTATTTCCGATATTTCAGAATGTCCAGTACTTTAAAAATTAAGGGCAATCCATCTTGGTTTTTTCACAGAATATGTAATTATCAATTCATATTCCAGTAATATTAATTTTCAAATTAGTTTAATGGTAGTACTAGATGTAGCACTATTATTTATAATAATAATGGATCTGTGCTACTAGTTTCAATACAAACCATGTTGGAAACACAGCTAATCATACCATAAGGTGAAAAGTAGAAATATGTTTTCAGTAAAATAAAAAAGAGCTGACAATCATAAATGATTATTTACATTATATTTTATATGATATGTATTTCATCAATGATAGAGATGCAGTGATAGAACAAATTTGTTTGTAAAATATTGTCATGTACATATATATATTTATATCTTGCTGAAGCATGATAAATATTGAATGATCTAGCATGATTTCCCATTGCCTTCATATTAACATAGTGGTGTTAATTAAAGCTTTCATCCAAATAAATATTGGTTTAAAGAAAGATGCATATTAAAATTAATGGAACTGGCCATATACATGTAGGATGCATTTAGCACATTAATTATAAATTACTTGCTCACATTCTTTTGTATTCAGTATTTAGAGGATTTTTTAGATTTGTAATTTTTATTATGATTTTATCGGTTCAGTTCAAATTTTTGATCATTGTAAATGAATAAATGTGCATGAAAAATAATTACATAAAGAGACGAATTAGATTTGGGAATTAGGAAGCAAGGCTGTCCTAGAAGAACATAATGGTGTACTTGGTGGTTGGTACAAGTTTTCCAATGGAATAGGTGACATATGATCATGTTTTTTGCCTTCAGGATCAATGTAGCCTTTCTTTGTGTGGAACTTTTTCCATAAATACCCAATCAAAATAAATGTTAACACTGAACCTATGAAACTGGTTATACCCACAATGATATGGGTATTGGTAATTCTTGTAATGCCAAGTTTAATAGCTGTCTTTTGATTGGTTGTAATGTTTTGACAGTGCACCAGATATTGGTCTAGATATGTTAAACACACTTCATAAGTTGTCATAGGTTTTAAACCAGTAATTGTATATCTGTGTAACAGTTTATGCAGATGAATTTTTTGGGGTTGATTTGTTGATGTTTTGGTATGATAATTGAGTTGAAAATCTGCCAAATTTAATCGTGGAATTGTTCCTTTCCATGCCACAGTTATATAGTCACTAAATATTCCTATGGGTACAATTTTTAAATCTTTGTTTGCTACATTAACAGCAGTAGAACTGATGTCGAATCCCAGAACATTTGAAGCCTTACAGGCGTATGTACCACTATCACTTTGCAATACACCTTTCAGTGTTATTAAGGTTGTTTCTTTGATTATGATACGCTGATCATGAGCAGATGTGTTCAGTTGACCGTTAGGTAATAACCACACTAAATCTGGACTAGGTACCCCTAAAGCTTCGCATTCCAGTGACAGTGTTTGTCCTATAGATAAATTATAGTAATCTTGAAAGAGGGGAAGGGTGGTGGGAGGACACACTGGTGACAGGGAGGGAAGGGGTACCTGTCTGAGTGGAACATTAATGTTTGTATCGGGAGAATCACACACTAGTTTATCAGAATCTGTAAATATAGTAGATTTGTTATGAATTTCACCACTGACTAACTGTTTTTTGATCCAATATATATTACAATCACAATGCAATGGATTATGATATAAATGTAGTTCTTTGATGTTCGGAAGCGAGATCTGTATATGTGGAGATATACCCATCAGCCCGTTATTATGCAAATAAAGTCTTTCTAAATGTGGCACATTGTAAAACGCTGTTGGATTTATATACAAGAATGCTGGGTTGTCATGAAGTTTTAACGAAACTAGTTTAGATAAATTGTAAAATGCTTTTGATTCTGTTACACGAAGTAAATGCATGTAACTTAATGACAACACACTTATATTCAAATCGGATATGTCTTTAGTTTTTAACCGTCTGATAGGATTAGAGTCCAAAATTAATGTTTCAAAATATCGAAGCTTCTGAAAACAATCCACTGGGAAAGATGTCAATTTGTTTTTGGAAAGATCTAAGACTTTGAGACTATTAAGTCCAGCGAATGTGTCACTGTTTATTGTTTTTATTATATTGTTGGATAAATCGAGATGAACAACTTGTGACAACATGTCAAAACCATTAGCTTCTAATCGACTTATCAGATTATGGGAAAGGTACACTTCATACAATAAACTCATGGATAGGAACCAAGATCTGTCGAGATTGGTTAATTGATTATGATCCAGATACAACCTTGCTAGATGATTCAGGCCACCAAAGGCATGAAGTTCCACATGCTGAAGAATGTTATGGGATAGATCAAGGGATTGAAGATTTTTTAATCCACTGAAACTACCATGTTTTAGTTCTCTTATGGCATTGTCAGATAAGCGTAATATATGTAGATTAGGAAGGTATTCAAACAACCAATGATTATCTATGTATTGTATGACATTGTGTGACAGGTCAAGTAGTTGTAAATTTGGCAGCGGTCCCAAATGGGATAAATTATGGAAATTGTTGTTGGTTAGTAATAGAGCATTTGTATTGCTCGGCAATCTAGACGGTACATCTACATATCCCACTCCACTACAATTTACAATGTATACTTGATTTTCCAGCAAATATATCAGATGTCTACCACAATCACATTTCTCTGGACATGTTCCTGGTTTTGGATCATGATTTGAAGAAACTTCCAGACAGTACGACGTCACCACTATACACACAATGATTGTCAATAAATTGTTGCCTTCCGACTTAATTAACATTTTCTATTCATTTCATTCCCACCACTGACTTATTGTGTTGTTGATCATAGTTGTTGTCAGTAACATATTCTCTAGAGACATTCTCGATTTTTCTTATAATATTGAATTATATACAGGCATAGCTACCATTTTTTTCTATCAGTATCTGAAATATAGAAATGAAGAGATCATATATATATTAAATTAAGAGACAGATCGATATAGAGAGAAAGAAAACTACCAGTTGTTTTTTATAATTAAGATTGACATAATCTTTTCTGTTAGGTAGGTATTTATGTCGTCACTCCAGCCTGAGCTGTTTTATGTATTTCAAACAAAATTATGTTTGTATGTTCTCTCAAAGTTGCAAATATAGACTTTACCGAAAAACTCCCACCTAACGCCAGTGGTGTCACAGTGACCGAATGCGTACATTAGACATGTTTATTCCTTAATTAACATCATTAACGTTTCACTGATTCCTTAATCCCCTAATAAAATAAAACAGCCTTGATGTGTCATTTTAGCGATGTATGCATAACTTGCAAACTACAATATTGTGAAAGATAAATCTCTAATAGGAATATCAGTCCGTTCATTATTTACAAAAATATGTGAAAATTTATTGATAGGCCTTTTTTAAATCCGATTGAGTCCACGTCAGGAAGACCCCTAGGTGCAAGCGAATTGTTGAAATAAAATTGAACCATCTGTTAGTCCCATAGTTTGTATCGAGTGAACATTAAACCTCCTTTCTCTCTTTCTCTCTCTCTCTCTAGTCTTGTTCCCTGTGTCCTTTTGATCACAAAAAGTCAAGTAAGCCAACAATACACCTAATAAGCTTCTGATTAATATTGCAATATTGATGTGAGATTGTTATTACACAAGCTTCTTATCCCACAGTCTGTCATTGAGTCAACTGGCAGGGTTTCGATTCCCAGGTTGTACGTGACAAGGGGTAGGGTCGCCTGTCCACGTGGGTTTTCTCCAGGTCCTCCGGTTTCCTCCCACTGCTAAAGGCCCCTACGTGCAAGCGAATTATTGAAATAAAATTGATTTGTCAACATCCACGCTCACAGCTGTTTCCAGAACATTTAACGGATGGCACATGATAGATAGATATATTAGTAATTGCAACAGGTTTCTCTCATGATTAGATAAATCACCACATAGCAAACATGCAAATTTATTTTTCTTTGTAGGCAGACACATGTTAGACAACTAGTTGTATTTTTGCTGTACATAATGAATATATCAAAGTTTCTCAATGTTACCTTTCCTTTTTATACGCCCACATTTTCATGTGGACGTATATTGCCGTCGCCTCCGTCCGTCCGTCCACAATTGTTTGTGAACAGTCTACAGGTCACAATTTTTATCCGATTTCAATGAAACTTGAAATATAGGTTTATTACCATAAGATCTCGGTTCCTTTCGATTTTGGCATGTATCGCACTGTAACTTCATGGATTATGGCCCCTGATTGTACGAAAAATCACGTTTTTAGCTTGTGAACACTGTAGAGGTCACAATTTTTATCCGATTTGGTTTAAACTTGAAATGTATGATTATAACCCAAAGATCTCGGTTCCTTTCGATATTCGCGCATATCGGAACGTAACTTCCTGAATTATGGCCCCTGATTGTACAGAAAATCAAGTTTTTAGCTTGTGGACCTATAGAGGTCATAATTTTTATCCGATTTAAAAAAACATATTATTAAATCACCATTACATCCTAAGGACAACTGAGTTCCAATTTCGTGAAAATCTGCCCAAAACTGACAGACAAAATGGCCGCCGTTCGTTCTCAAATAGCGTAAAAATATGGTATATCAAGGTTGTGGACCCTATAGAGGTCACAATTTTTATCCAATTTTGTTGAAACTTGAAATGTAAGTGTATAACCCACAGATCTCGGTTCCTTTCGTTATTCGCGCATATTGGACCGTAATTTCCTGAAATATGGCCCCTGATTGTACGAACAATTTTTTATCCGATTTAAAAATTTGTATTATTATATCACCGTTACACCCTAAGGACGACTGCATTCGAATTTCGTGAAAATCGGCTTAAAACTGACCGACAAAATGGCCGCCGTTCGTTCTCAAATGGCGTAAAAATATTGTATATCAAGGTTGTAGACCCTATAGAGATCACAATTTTTATCCGATTTTGTTGAAATTTGAAATGTAAATTTATAACCCAAAGATCTCGGTTCCTTTCAATATTCGCGCATATTGGAACGTAACTTCCTGAATTATCGGCCCTGATTGTACGAAAAATCGCATTTTTAGCTTGTGGACCATATAGAGGTCATAATTTTTATCCGATTTAAAAAACCGTATTATTATGTCAATGTTAAACCCTAAGGACACCTGTGTTCGAATTTCGTGAAAATCGGCCCAAAACTAACAGACAAAATGGCTGCCTTTCGTTCTCATATAGTTTAAAAATATGGTATATCAAGGTTGTGGACCCTATAGAGGTCACAATTTTAATCCTATTTTGATGAAACTTGAAATGTAAGTTTATAACCCAAAGATCTTGGTTTGTTTCGATATTCGCGCATATCGGAATGTAACTTCCTGAATTATGGCCCCAGATTGGACGAAAAATCGCGTTTTTAGCTTGTGGATAGAGGTCATAATTTTTATCCGATTTAAAAAAATGTATTATTATATCACCGTTACACCCTAAGGAGGACTGAGTTTGAATATCGTGAAAATCGGCTCCCCTTCTTTCTCAAATAGCGTAAAAATATGGTATATCAAGGTTGTGGACCCTATAGAGGTCACAATTTTTATCCGATTTTGTTGAAACTTAAAATGTAAGTTTATAACCCAAAGATCTCAGTTCCTTTCAATATTCGCGTATATATTTCGAATTGTAATTTCCTGAATTATGGCCCTTGATTGCAGGAAAAATCACTTTCTTTTTAGCTTGTTCTCTATCCATCTCTCGAAAATGTGGGCGTATCCTGCCTGGCAGCCGCTGGTTCATTTGATTTAAAGATGCATTATGTAAGATATGGATAATGAGCTGGCCATTCTTTTTACAATAATTAAAAAATAGGTACTGAAAAATGAATATATTGAAAATTTTAGTCAAATTACTTTATTATCAGCGAAGTTATCAGTGTTTGAGAATGTAGTGTAGATTATTTATTATCATAGCAACAGTACTTGACAATCAAGACGAAGTCTAGATTATCCATTTTTATATGCCCACATTTTCATGTGGACGTATTATGCCGTCGCCCCTGTCTGTCTGTGTGTCCGTTCACATTTTGTTTGTGTTTGTGGACACTTTACGGGTCACAATTTTCATCCGATTTTGATGAAACTTGAAATATAGGTTTATATCCCAAAGATCTTGTTTCCTTTCGACATTGACATGTATCAGACTATAACTTCATTCATTGAGGCCCCTGAATGTACGAAGAATCACATTTTTTGCTTATGAAATCCCAAAGATCTTGGTTCCTCTAGATATTGACACATGTCGGACCGTAATATCCTGGATTATGGCCCCTGATTGAACGCAAAATTGTTTTTTTAGCAAGTTCTCTGTCCATCTCTTGCAAAATGTGGGCGTATCTTGAATTGCAACCGCTTGTTAAATTATTCAATGACAATAGCTTTTCAATCCATTTAAATCTCGGCCATCTGATGGTCCAGAGAGTTGATTATAGGCTTATCATGTGAATAAATGTCTAAATAATAGTTTATATAACATTTGAAGCCAAAATAAAGACCTGCAATAGCAAGATGTGTCTCTTACATAATGCATCTTTAAGTAACATTTTAATGACCTGGACCCTGTTTCTCAAATTCTTAGCTAAAGATAAAATCCGAATTTTAGTAGATACATCAGTTTTGATTGGCTAAGCACTAAAATCAATCTAATATTATCCAATCAAATTACTAAAAAGTGGATTTTATCTTAGTTAAAAGTTTGTGAAACAGGCCCCTGAAATCTTATGTCCAAGTAAGTTCACAGTGAACCCAACATACATATTATCCCCCTTGTTGTGCACAACTCTATGGTTTCTAACAATCTCATTTATAGAAATATTTGAGAATATGCTGATTTATAAATAAAGATTCATTTGATATACATTCTTATTATAATCCCAGGATCAGGACTTAGTTTCCATTATCCATATGGCACAAGGCACATAAGAATACAGTGAGAACAGTAATTCTTTGATATGCTGATTAGTCATATAGTATTCAATTCTAATGCCACTTTTGACAAAAATATATTCAAAATGTTAAAAAATATTAATACAGAGTGCATGTTTTTAAACATATTATTCCTGTTTTTAGAACCGAAACTGACGACTTGCTGCAAATAATAGCTACATATCATATAAACAATATTTGTTATTTTTGGTACTAGGGATATGGCTTTAGCATAGAATGGAAACACAAATACAATTCATTATAAATACACACAAATATTTGAAAAATCTTTGATTATATTGAATTTAAAAAACTGAAAAAAAATTATGTTGTCACCTTCCTATATAAATAGAATTATGGTTGTAGTTGTTGTCAAAAAAAAGTTTGCAATGATTAGGGTCTTGTAATACCGAAAATGTTTATTTATTTTTGCTAATTCATATCATTCTGTGCAATGTGTGTCTCCTAAACGTATTATGTATAAAACACATAAACAATTACACAAGACAAACTTGCAGACAGGACATTATACCCAAGTAATATTTTGATCTCTACTCTACTGCAAATTTACTGAAAGGAAGTGCGAAATAAAATGGTGATTTTTGATTTACTAGGAGTTTAAACAGGCTCCTGAAAATGACTATTCTCTCTTATTATAAGGTCAGCATATATGGTGTGCCAATTAAATTAGTACAGATTAGTAGAGTATGTTGGGGTTTTTTTCAATAGTATTAATTTTAGTATTAACATATTACTTGTCCATGTTTATATGTAGAAGATTTAGAAAACAATAATTAGGAATGTATGCAAGATAAGAGAACATGCATCATGCAATAAACACAGAGTGATATGAATAATATGAATAGAAAATATAAACTCCAGGTTCAAATGTCACACATGGCTCCAGAATACACAATGATAACTTGCAATGCTATGTATACTATTTTGCTGAATGTAGTTACTTGCCAAAATGAAAGAAA